GCTCCAGTCTTCATAGTGACAGCCCAAGCTCCAAGTCCCTACCTGTTGGCAGCGGGATTGCGGAGTTCCCGGGCTATGCAAGGGTTAAATGGCGCTGGGGACCCAGGCTCAGGGCCCGCACTGGCTCTGCGCACTTGGGCTCTCCGCAAGTTCCTCGCTGTCTGTGCTCCTCAGTGGCCCAGCGCTGCTGCCCCTGGGGCGTGAGAAGCCCGAGGGGGGAGTTTCTCAGAGAAAGAGGGAGACTAAAAATAGTAGCCCTGGAGAGCAGGCCCATTCTCAGTCTTTCCCGGCTTTTGCTCTGGGGAGTGGGCCGGAGGGTCTCTTTCTTGGGCTGGTCAGGTCTCCTCTGCCCAAACCCAACCACCCCCTTCTCTCCAGACGACACTGTGGACCCTGGAGTGAAAAGGGACCAACCGTTGGGGACTTCTGCTCCAGCGGACACGCAGGGAGGAAGGCTAAAGCCTGGGGCCTCTGCTGCTACGGGTTTCTGATGGGCCGATAAGAAAGGGAGCATTTGCCCAGAAGTGTATCCATTGCCATCATCTGAAGTACCTCTCGCAAAATGAAATACTCTTGGGGTTTGAGGGCTCAGCACTGCCGTTGGTAGGAACTGCCTGGCCTCTGGGAGCACTGCAAACGTGCCAGGAGAGGCAGCCGCGCCCCAGGAGGGGGTGTCCCGGGGCCTCCGGCTCCTTGAGGCAGTGGTTGTTTCCAGCTGTAGAACCTCTGGCCTAGCCCCCGCCCCCCCCTCCTCCCTCCTCCCTCATTGTCTTCTAGCTTATCGCTGGGCACAAGTTTCCTGCCCGGGCCTGCCTGGATCCCGCCAGGAAATGGGAAGGAGGCTGCTGAGAAGGCTAAGGACTAGGTGTGGGGGCTCCTAGGGGCTGCAGCGGGAAGCGGTGGGGGTGGTGCGCATCCTGGCCGGGTGTGTTCCTGGCCTGAGAGGCTTCAACCGACTCCTGGAGGGGGGAGAGCCGGGTCAGTCTGCGGCCTCTGCCCGTGCCTGGGCTGCCTGGTCACCACGCAGAGGCGGCGGTGCCCAGTGGCCAGGCCTCCGGCCGCCAGGATCCTCAGGCCCGCGGGATGGGAGCCCGAGGGTATTCCCCCAAACGGCTTAGGACTCTGCCCGCCACCTCTCCAAAGGGCAAAACGCGAGCGTTTCTAGGTGCCACATGGATTCGCTTAGTCCCCTCCCTGAAACCCAAAGCCCAGTCCACCTCCTGGACACGCACACACGCAGCCACAACTTCGTACTTGGTTGATGGGGACCTTCATTCGTGCCCCAGCTCTGCCGACGTTCCCTGTGGCCCCAGAGGACCCGCCCTGGTCGCCTGGACCCCAAAAGGGCCCGCGGGAGCCTGCTGGGTCCCAGCTCTCCTCTCTCCCAGGGAGCGCACCTGTCGGGGCTGAGAGGGCGGGGGAGCTGGGGGAGTGGGGAGGGAGCGCAGCAGCCACCGGGCGGCTCCGGCCTCGGCCCCAGGCTGTCCATCCGGAGCTGCGGTTACCAGCGGCCTCCCAGCCCCTCCACCCCTCAGGGCAGGAACGCTCCGATCCAGACCAGCCCGGTCACTCCCTCCACCCTCCCTCCCTTCCTCCCTTCCCGCCCGGGAAACTGCGGGATCAAGTGAGCTACGCAGAATGTACATCAAAGCCATTAAACCTGCCCTTCCTCTCGGGCAGACGCTGCCCTTCCCCTCCTCGCTGGAAATCTGCGCCTCTGGATACAAATAAATGGCACCTAACTGTGTCCTCCTCCGCGCCACACACCCAAAGGCGGAGGTTTCGGAGAATTAGCCCTCGGGGCGCTGATGACGCTGAAAACAGGCCCCAGGTTTCGGCCTCCAGGGAGTAGGTAGTCCCGGAGCCCCTGGACAGGACTCTTGAGGTCCTTCCTATGGGCCGGGCGTCCTGCGCCCCCCACCCCCGCCCCTGCCAGCATGGGCGGGTCTGAGCTCAGGCGTCCTCGCTCTCCTCCCCAGCACCCGCCTCCTGCGCCCAGTTCCAGCTGCACGTGCCCTCGGGCCGCGACAGGGTCCTCGCGGTGGAGGGAGACGAGGTGGTGCTGCCGGCCTGGTACACCTTCCAGGGGGAGGCGGCCTCGGCCCAGCCCTGGGAGACGCTCACCCTGATGTGGTTCCTGGAGCAGGAAGGGCAGGATCTGAAGCAGGTGAGGTTCCAACGCCGCTCACCTTAGCCCCGCGCGGGCGGGGGGCGCTGTTGGCGACGCGGGGAGGTGGGAAGGGGAGGAGCCAGGGAGAGGGGGACGGGAAAAAGTTTTGGCGGGGGCGGGGGAGAAAGCAAGGTCTTCTCCATCGGTTTGATTTTGTTCCAATCTTGGAGGCGGCCCAAAAGGACTCTCTTTCCCCCAAGTTTCCCTAGAAATTTGGCCACAAACACAGCAGAGTGAAGAGGCATCTTACTTTGCTCTGGGGGTCCAGCAGTGAGGATTGGGGGCAGAGGTGGGAAGAGTTAGGGCGAGTATCACACTAGATAGATAGATAGATAGATAGATAGCTATAGATATAGATAGATGAGAGAGAGAGAGAGAGAGGAACATCAGCAATGAGAGAGAATCACTGATGGGCTGCCTCCTGCCTGCTCCACTCTGGGGATGGAGCCCACACCTTGGGCCTGTGTCCTGACCAGAATCCAATGGTGACCTCCTGGCTCATAGGTCCACGATCAACCGCTGAGCCACGCCCACTTTTTAAAAGTTGCCTATCAGCCTGTGTTCACACTCTCTGTGCTCTGGACAGTCACAGGCTGCTGCCTCTTGTACCCACCCTGAGAGGCGAGGGGCAGCCTCCCGCCATCTCCCTTCCGGCCTCTCCTGGATCACAGGGTGAAGGCCAAGGACACTTACCTTCCAGAGCCCCTCGCTGGCATGGCTCCTTCTGAAGCCCAAGGCCGCATCTTCAAGAGGCCGTTTGCTAAACAGGGGTGTGTGTGTGTGTGTGAAAGAAACTTAGACTGCAGGGGTCGACCCTGGTTTCACCGGGCCTGAACTTGTACATTTGGTTCCTTTCAGACATAACCCCTGTTTACATGACCTCTCACCCATTTTACCACCCTTTCAAACACCCCAAGTGGGAGATGGAGACAATATACAGGGGATCAAGAACCGTTCTGGCGAAGAGGACCTGGGGTGGTGAGAGGGTGGCCAGGAAGAAGGGGTGGAGGGGAGCTGGTACAGGTTAGAGGGGACGGTGCAGATGAGGGGCATCTGAGGTTTGACAGTTTGGGGGAGGGAGATTGGCTGAGCCTGCGGGCACCGTGCAGGCATGTGATAATGGGCAGGGGTTATGCCCACACCAGGTGTTGGCGCACATCAATAAGGTCACAACAAGCCAAGATGGAGTATCCCTGGTCTACCCCATGCCCTCCCGGAATGTGTCCCTGCGGCTGCGGGGCCTCCGGGAGAAAGACTCCGGGTCCTACCGCTGCTCTGTGAACGTGCAAGACAAGCAAGGCACAAGCAGGGGCCACGACAGCAAAACTTTAAAACTTGACGTGTGGGGTAAGTAAGAAGCACACACTTTCCAGTACTTGTGTGTCTCTCCCCTTTCCCCTTCCTCCCCCCCGCCTGCCCCAGATCAGGCAGTTCTCTCTCCCCAATGGCTGAGTGTACAGGTTGGAGGAGGGTTAAAGGGAGTGACTGAAGGGAGACACAGAGGCTGAGGTTGGGGCTGGGGCTGGGGAAAGATGAGGTACCAGGGGGACTGGGTGAAAAGGAAAGACAGTGCTGAAAAGTACTGGAGAGGAGGAGGGTGCGGGCAGGGGTGGAGAAAGATGGCTACCAGGTGCGAGCTTGTGTTGGTGCCTTCACGTATAACTATGTTACTAAAGAAGCTCTAGAACTCTGCTGTTCACTGGCTGTGTCCTAGCTACCTCCATTTCCTAATTTTTTTAAAGATTTTTTTTTTATTGATTTCAGGGTGGAAGGGAGAAAGAGAGAGAGAGATAAAAACATCAATGATGAGAGAGAATCACTGATCGGCTGCCTCCTGTACACTCGCTGCTGGGGATCGAGCCCCCAACCCTGGCATGTGCCCTCCACCACTGAGCCAGACCGGCCAGGCCGTCTCCTCATTTTTAAAATGGGACACCAGCTCTAAAAGTCATTTTGGGGAAATTGGAACTTTAAAAACAATTTTTTATGAGATATAATTGATGGAACATTTTTATTATGGAGTATTAGATGCTTTTAGAGAATTATTAATGATCAGGTATGGCAATGGTATTGTGGTTATGTAGGGCAGTATCCTTAATTTTTGGAGATTTATGCTGAAGTCGTTATTTTAAATGTCTCAGGTAAAAAGAGAAAGGAAATTAAATAAGTATAGCAAGATGTTGGCAACTGTTGAATCTAAGTGGTAGAATTTCCACTAGTCCCTCTTTCTACTTTTCATTGGACCATTTTATAATAATTTTTTTTTTACATAGCGCTTACCTCATAGGTTTGTTTTGAAACTTTTGTAAATTAGTGGATGTAAAGAACTCAGTCCTTGGTGTACATAAGCATCCAATAAACTTTAACTGTTATAATTATTATTTCACATAATTTTTCAACACTATCCAGAAGGTTATATTACCCTGTTTTAGAGATGAAGTAATGGGGACCCAGGGATAGCAAGTGACTTGCTTAAAGTCACACGGCCCATTCTGGAACCCAGATTTTCTCCTTCCTAGCCAATGTTTTTTATCTCACCCCACTCTGCCATTTAGAAATTAAAATCCTGTTTTGATTTCTCTGGGTATCACGTCTTTATTATGATTTTTTAAAAATATATATATATTTTGTTGATTTCAGAGAGGAAGGGAGAGAGAGAGAGAGATAGAAACATCAATGATGAGCGAGAATCATTGATCGGCTGCCTCCTGCATGCCCCACACTGGGGATCCAGCCCACACCCCAGGCATGTGCCCTGACCTCCTGGCCCATAGTTCCACACTCAGCCACTGAGCACACCGGTTGGGCTGGGCTGGTTATCATTTCTTCAGCCTCCTTTCAGAATCAGTTGGGGACACTGAGCCTGGGAAATGGAGAGGGATATTGAGCCAGCAGTTCTGCACCTGGAAGCAGGACCCAGTGTGCTTACTGTCACACTCCTCCCCCCACAACCGCCCCCCCCTGCCCCCCGAGTTTCCCAGAGAGTCGAAGAGGACATTCCAGAGCAGGGGTAGGCTTTTCCTTTTTTTTTAGTGGGAAATTGGGTCCCTGGCCTGATGGCTAAATTGTGTCCACAGATGCCATATCTGGCCTTTTAAGCCTCCGAAACCTTTCCAGTTCTATGTCTGGAGTCTATATCTGCAAGGCCTCCAACAGGGTGGGCAGCGCCAGCTGCAACGTGACCCTGGAAGTGAGCACAGGTCAGTGAGGGGTAAGTGGGGCCAGTGGTCGGGGTGGGGCTGCAATAG